AGAGAGGGGGGGGGGAGGGGGAAGAAAAAAGAATTCGATAAAAATTTGTTTGGTTAAACTGCACTAGCGCCGTTTGCTTGTTGTTTTGTCTCTCTGTGTGTGTGTGTGTGTATTTTTTTTTTTTTTTAGTATTAACTGCCAATGCTGGTGGGTTAAGCGCGACTTCTGAAGAAGACAATCGAAGGAGGTTCTGAATTCGTCCGGGACTTACTTGCGAAAGGACGGGATTTGTACAAAATATTGTGAGGTATATTCATTTAGCAAGGTTGTGTACGCATATGTTTTTTAAATGGAAGGTTAAGGAGGAGGAGAAATGTTTGAAATGCGAAAATAAGATTGTACACCGATTGGTACAGTCCTTTTGTTTTTTCTTTTTAAAAAAGAAAAGAAAATAAAAAAGGAACTCTGGTGGGAGTTTAAGGCACAGTCTGCATGTAGCGTCGGCTTTGCGCCAGAAGATCATTTTGCCTCTATGTCTACTATCTATACCGTGTATATATGTATGGTATGTATACACACATATATATATATATATATATATATTTGATGCGTATTGACATTTTTTTATTTATTTTTATTTTTGCAGTTGGTGCTTCACCGCCGAAAGGAAAAGACAATAGATTGTACGTCAGCATGGAGGGGAATAAAAGGGTGGCGGTCGCCGTGCGTGTTCGTCCCATTTTGCGGGAAGGCACGAGTTATACGCACATGCAGGAAAAGTTTGAGCTTGAGGCTGTGCAGCGCACGGGGGACACATCACTCAAAGTTCAGCTTCAGCGAGAGGGCGAGCCTACGCGCAGCAGCTCGTTCACCTTTGATCACATCTTTGATCAGGAAAGTACCCAGCTGGAGGTTTACGAGGAATCCGTCGTGGACCTCGTTGAGGCTGCCCTGTCAGGTGCGAATGTCACTATACTTGCCTACGGCCAAACGGGTTCTGGAAAGACGTACACGGTGCTGGGCGACGTGAAACCCAACCCGCTCGAGAATGACCTTCTTACGTACGATAGTGGTCTCTTCCTGCGTATTTTAAGTGACTTGACGGAGTACAAGGCCCGACAGGCAAAGAAGGGCTTCCACGTTGTCATTGGGCTTAGTTGTGTGGAGATATACAACGAAAGTATTCGTGATTTGTTTGGCGGAGGCCCAGGGACACCGCCGCCTCCGCTGAAGGCGGTTATGATTGGAGATGAGGTGCTTCTCCCCTCGCTTATCACGAAGGAGGTGACCTCACTGCAGGCAGTCTTCAATGAGATTCAGCTTGCCATCTCGCGTCGCAAGAGTCGTTCCACAGATAGCAACTCCACATCCAGCAGGAGCCACTGCCTGTTCCTTATTGATATTTTGCAGCGGGCCGCCACAGCCTCCGCTCCGTCACTGTCATTGCTTGAGCGAAAGAATAATACCAAAGAAAAGGAGGGTAAACGGGCGGTGTGCGATGGCAGTGGTGCAGGGGAGATGCCGTTTGACGGCATGACATACCGTATTAATGGTCAGCGGGAGCTTGTTTTTGGCAGCAAAATCATGCTAGCAGACCTGGCTGGCAGTGAAAAGATTGCAAAGAGCGGGGTCTCTGGAGAGGGGCTTGCGGAGGCCACCTCCATCAACAGCAGCCTTACGGCATTGGGGAACGTCGTACATAGTCTTTACGAGGGCGGCTACGTCAGCTACCGCACCTCCAATCTAACACGTCTGCTGAAGCCGACGTTCAGTCAGCAAAACTCGCGGGTTCTGCTCCTGTCGCAGGTTTCCCCGACGCAACTAACATTTGATGAAACCATCAGTACACTGCACTTCGCCAACAAGGTCAAGGCCATGAAGGTGACAACAACAACAGGCGCTGAAGCTGAACGACTCCTTTTTGATTACCTGGAGACAGAAAAAGCGTACGACACGCTGTTGGCGGATCTTCACATTTTTGAAACCGAAGCTGAGGCAAAGAGTGCCGTCATCCGGAGGAAGTGCAGGCAGAATGAGGGCTTGTACTATAGCACTCTCGCCAGGGCAAAGACAAAGACCAGTTTGAAGGATCAACGATCCTTCATTGAGAGCACGGGTGCTCTTCGTTTTGCTGCTGAAGAGCACAACGTAATAGTGCGGCGGCGGCAGCAGGAGGAGCTGCATCAAGATGAGGAACTAGAGAAAATGACACATGAAGCCGCCAGGGAGAGAGTTGTGGAATACACCAATCTCGTGGCGGAGATGAGGGAGTCCATAGCCAAGGAAAAGGCTGTTTCCCAACGCCTCCTTCTTCAGGCATTTCAAGTGGTCTCGGCAGGAGAAGCCTCTGTCATCCAGACGAAAGAAGCTGCGACGTTTGCGGCGTTGGCAGCACGGTTTGCCGCTGAGCATATTGTCATGTGTAGGAAACGAATAGAAGAAATCGAAGGCGAACAAGAGGGGATCAGCAAAAAATTTAACGCGGTGCGCCTTTCTTCTATTGAGGTGCCTGAGATTGCGGACGACAACTTTAAATATGCCCAGGCATGTTGGGGCCACACTACGGCAAAGAAATTCTTCGCAAAGTGCATGGAGCTTCGGGAGATTCAAGCGCAGTACGCAATACTTCAGAAGGGCTGTTTTGCCCTGGAGGAGTGGAAGGTGAAGAATAAGGAGTTCATACAACGGGTGCAGGAACAGCTAGCACAGACTGTGGAGTAGCAGCGCTGGGGGTGGGAGACGATCGAACGGTGCTGCGGTACAAAGCCATCGTCCCCCCATTTCTCCTGAATGGGGAGCGCCGCAGCAGGCGTTTTTTTTTTTTTTCCCTTCTCCCCCAACCTGCAAACTAAAAAAAAAAAGGAGGAGGAAAAGACAGGCAAAAACAAACCAAGGCAAACTTATCCCGGCAATCAAGGACCGAAACCACAAGCATTGAGGAAAATAGCACGACGTAGACGACGGCCTTCAAGGAAAGGAAATAAAAGAAAATGGTAAAGCACAGGGATACATTCAATGATTATGGCGTGGTTTTGTGTGCTGTGGAGGGTGGGGAGAGGAGACGGGAAGGACGGAGTAAAATACATATATTTACTCCCTTCGTCTGGTGGACACTTTGCCATGTTTTTGCCAATTATTAATGCATTTTCTCAGAGGAAGGCAGAATGTGGTTCTCTCATTGCCTCTTTTTTTTTTTGGTTCTCTGTGGATTTCGGCCGCCGAAACGGATCATGAAACTGGGCAGACTGAACTGGCCGGTTTTGCTTTGAAGATGTTGGTCTGCATGGCTTGTAACTCTCTCCTCACACCTGCACTGCCCTTCGTCTGAGGGAATAGGGTGGATGTGGTTGAACCCAAATGACTGTTAACGCTTTTGCAGTCTTTTTTTTTTTTTGCTTTTTTTTCACTTGTTTTAAGCACCGAGCTGGTGCTGCACATGAAAAAGCTGAAGGATTTGCTTACCTTGACCGGTGTGGGAAATGACATATGTGAGTCGATCCCGGCCACTCACATATTCTCAGACAACGTGGTCTACATTGATTTGTACAGTGTGATGCGAGGCATCGTGGATGACGATGAGTGCGCGGCACCGGCGATTTGTCGGGATCTTAGCGCGAATATGTCGTGTTTTTTTGCTGGTGTTTTGAAAATGATGTCCCCACCGTTTTCTGTTAAGAAAATCGTTTTTGTTCATGAAGCGAGCGAGTCACTGGAGGCGACGCTGTTCAGCGTGGAGGTGTATCGGCAGGTAAAGGGTTTTGTGCGAGGAAGCAAGGGTCACTGCCTTCTTTACGTTGCTCAGGAGAGTGCACTGAGGGGGGCCGCTGCATTGATGTTGAGAGGTGGGGATGGGGATCGATCTGTGCTGTGCTCCAGCGACCCTTATGCCCCCTTTTTGGGTTACGATTGCGTTCGAAACTTGGAGAGGTGGTGTGAAGACTCAACTTGTTTGTTGGAGGTTATTGCGTCCTCGCGTCTTTCAGCGGCACTGGGCCTGAACGATTGTGCCTTGCTTCCCACCTTTACCGCTCTTCTGGATACTGCGCACGCTGCATTTTGCCCCATAGACGTAGGCCACGTGGTCTCCCGTCTCAATTACTGGGGTGGACTGCTTAGCCCGCAGCTTCTGGAAGAGATTGACTTTGCTAATGGGGACTCCAGCAGTGCACTTATGAAGGTATCCGTAACGCAGTGGGAGCTCTGTGGTGGACTAGATGTGATGCCTGCTGAGATTGACGTGCAGGTTGATGCTCCCCTACTCCCTCTTCTTCTTCGTCAGCAGTTTCGAAGTGTGGTTTACATGAAAGACAGACGTCTACATGAGTGTTTCTCTGGGGTGCGAAGATCTATTTTTTATGCCCTGATGCCGGGGAGGCTGATACGGGAGGTATACGACGACGGTAGCGAGCGCGTCGCGCAGATTCCGGAGTGTGATGAAGAACTATCGAAGGTTTACTCTCAGCCATTGGCAAGTACACCAACTCGGCTCCTGCAAGTCACGAGTCTAAGTGGAGAGGAGACTGCGATAACATCTGTGGAGTTGGACACTATCCGGCGGTTGTCGGTCGAGTTGCAGTTTAGCGCCATCGCACTTCTTTTGCTTCGTCGCATCTCTCGCTTCTCGGAAGACACGTGTTTACGTTTTTGCCGTGCTTTGACCTTCACGCAAGCCAAGGAAGCGGCGGCGCCGGACATGAGCAAGGCGTGTAGTGACTTTCAGGTTTGCTTAACGTACGTTACTTTGGTCAACGAGGTGCTTTGGCTTCCGCGGAAGCCACCTTGCTTGCCCGTTGGTCCTCTGGTGGACCTCGCCGCCCTGCTTGAACCCACGAAGATTTCATGTGGGTTGTCAGGGACGTCTGCTACAGAAGCGCAAAGATGTGAGAATTTTAATGCACTTAGGAGGCTGCTACGCTGTTGATTCTTTCATTTATTTATGACCCATTTCTTTTTTACATTTTCCACTTGCTGTCGCTGGACGCTCGTTCTCTTATCTTCACAAACCTGAACGGCACGGGCGGTGCATCCGTTTCACTTCCTTCACTTCTCTCTCGCCACGCGTGTGGCTGTTTCTCCTTTAGTGTCGAGCTTCAAGAGTGGAAAAACAGGGGAAAGAGGTCAGAAAGATCTCTGGCCACACGAATATATATATATATATATATATATATAGAACCACAGTCTTGGCCTCACCGTGCGTGAAGAACGTGGAGGCATCATCACCCTTGCCCAGCTCGTACGCTGGAAGGAGGGGAATAAGCCAACCCAGGAGAGGTAGCCGTAGCGCAAGCAATAATGGCCTTGAATGTACCCAAAGACTCTGAGGAGGCGAAAGCGCTGGTAGGATCTCTCCGACAGAACGCGGACAACAGAGTCTGTTTTGACTGTCCACAAAAGAACCCGAGTTGGTGCAGCGTCACCTACGGCATTTTCTTGTGTATGGACTGTTGTGGACGCCATCGTGGCATGGGTGTTCATATTTCATTTATGCGGTCGGCCGATCTGGACAGCTGGAGGCCGGAAGAGGCCCTTCGAATGGCACTTGGTGGAAACGCAGCAGCTCGGGATTTCTTCAAGCAACACGGATGTAATGATCCCAAGATGCGGTACAACGCTCCCGCAGCTCAACTGTACCGGAAGCGGCTTGACCGACGCATGGTGGAGTGCTTAGGGGGGAAGGTGGCAGAGCCACTTGCTGAAGAGGTTAAATCGGTGGTGGTAGGACTTCTCACAGAGAGTCGCAAAGATCCTGAGTTGACAACTGCCGGTAGCCCGGTGATGCAGGCTCCCGTCATTTCCATGACCCCCAAACCCGGAAAGAAACTGGGCACCACCAAGAAGAAAGGTTTTGGAGGCGCACAAAAGGTGGAGGGAAGCATCAAAGAAACCTCGGACCCAGTTCCTCATTCCCTGCTTCATGACGAGACAACGCCGACCGGTGTGGTTGATGCGGAGGCGAAGGCGTTCATCACTGATGCATCTCGTCCTGCGAACCCGGCGGATCGTTTTCGTGGATTGGGCAACCCCGCATTCCAAAAAGAGGCACCACCTGCGGACATGAGGAGCGGGCCGGATTTTGCAGGGTTGGGATCGCAACCGTACCAACCCCAAGCCGATCGTGCTGAGGGTGGAGGCCTGCAGGACACACTCTGGCAAGTGTCAGAGGCCTGGGATTCCCTTAAGGAGTCCGCAATTCGATCTCGCGAAGAGTGGGGCAATAAGGTGCGGGACTTCCTGGATGATCTCTAAGCGTGGCGATGGGGAGGAGGAAAGGGACATAGGGCGATGCCTGAGGTCAGTTTCTTCTTTGCTGGCTCCCAATGTTTATGCACAACCTCTGCATATGATGTGTGCGTATGTGTGTCTTCCGCCTTGTTTCTCTGATGGGCTGCTGATCATATAAAAAGTGATAAACCTACATTGGGAAACCAAACAAGGAAGCAGAAAGCAGACAGTGAAGTCTCTTCGAGCGCCAAGATCCTGATCGATCTGTGCATATATATTCTTTTATATATATATATATATATATTGCTTTTTCCTCTTGGCTCATTTCCTCTTTCTGCTTGTGGACGATGTATTTGTATACGCATGTGTACGCACGCATTCAAGTAGAAGGAGGAGGACGGCATCGCGGAGGGCGATGCAATGCATCAGAAGTGTGGCTGATTGCATCAGTGGCCCCTGCTCCGCTGTCATTAAGTTCCAGAAACAGTTTGTGGATGACGTCATCGTCAACGTGAAAAAGCAAAGGGAGGAACTGAGCCGTCACAATCACGAGCTTCAGAACCGACGGGTGCGGCTTCATCTTGATTACCTGGAGGAGGAGTATCTCTGCTGCGTGTGCGGCAAGCCGGGCGAGCAGCGGGACACAGACGACGCGGTGTCTGACGAATTCAGCATTGTTCACATGCCCAGCAAAGAGCGAATTGAAAAGGCCATCATTGTCTCGGGGCAGTTGAACCAGAACGGGGAGACTGAGGGCGATGATGGGTTTCGGGCGTTGGGGCCTCGGACTGACGCGCTGCTTGGGGTTCTTTTTACACCCACGGAGCAAAGTGCGAGCAGGATGGTGGCGAAGGTGCAGCATTGCATTCTCAACCAGGAGGCCGCGCGACAGCAAAAACGGAAGTGGGCACACCGCGACAAGGGGCTTATGAAGATTGAGGAACCTGATATTGACATGTTTGAGCAGTTTTTCAGGCGGCCTGTTCACGGGTATCTTTGCTCAGATTGTCACACCTCGGCTAAGAGGAGGTTGGACACGCTGATAAATCAAATACAGACAATTCTGTTCAAAGGGAAAACCCCGTTTCTACGCCGTGGCTGCAGTACAGCCCAGACCCAGTGGCAGGAGGCAACGGCTTCTCGCAGCTGGCCTGCTTTGGCTGCCTTCCAGCCACACCCTGGGATGATGCGGGAAACGCATAATTACGCTACTCTCTCCGATGCAGCTATAACGCATCTAAGAGCGAATTTCCGCTGTGCTGTTTGTAAGCGGCGGCAGGCATCATTCTTTGTTCGGCAAAGCGCCACCTTTCTTTGTCAGTTTTGCTGTTCAAGAGACCGTTTTTACCGTGATAACGCGACCTGCATAAACGATGAGCCTATGCCAAAAGAAACTGCACACCTACTGGAAAGCCTGGCACTCTGCCAAGCAAAGGTGGGGGAAGGGAAAGAACACGACGCATGGGTCAGCGGCGGTGAAAGGCGTGGCGTTAGCCTTTTTCGGGAGCATAATACCCTTGACCTCTTTGCAGCCCAGTTGCCACCACATGCAGCTATCAGCGTGAAGCCAGCTCTTCCTCACGCCTCAGCTTCTTTGGATCGAAGGAGCGTCGCCGGAAACATGTCGGTTTCCCTTTTTGGCGGAAAGAAGTTTCTTCTGAATCTCCCGGAATCCGAGGTATTTTGAGAAAGCTGACCCCCCCCCCCCCCTTTTTTTAAAGGTTGTTCCCTTATGGTCTCGGCACGATTTCTTGACGTGCTTTGGGGTGTTTATGCCCGTTATACGCATTTTATTTTAATGCAAAAACTCGTACGTGCATATGTGTGCGTCCTAATTGCTTGTTACCTTTCCAGCTTGAGGTGCCTAGAGAGGTGGAGGAGGAGGGAGGGGGAGAGCCGGCACTGGAGAATGGCGCTTCGTTTTGTAACAACCGGGATTCCACACGTATGGCGTCGCCACTGGAATTCAGCCTTTACAACGGAAGACAAGAAAAAAAAACAAGGCCAGGGAATGCTCAACAAATTTCCTTTAGTACTGTCATTGGCACGATAGCTTTACACGGTGACACGCACACATACTCTTCCTTGCTGCTTCCTCTGCCTGTTTGCAGGGTAGTAGTGTGGAGGGAATAGTTCTTGCAGTGTTTGGGTTGACTGTGGGTGGTGACAGTGCCCACTTTTTTTTTTTTTTGTTCCTCTCACAATTGTCTTTCACTTCTCGCACGAACACACGCGGAAGGAAAGAAAACATACGCTATTCGCCACTTTGCACATTGAAATACTCTGCAGTCACCACACACACACACACACACACACAACCGTCGCGGCCTGAGCGGATCCACCGCACGGAGGAAAGCGAGAGAGAATGAGTGAGCAGCGACACATGCTCAAGATGTCCCGGCATCTGTTTTCTTATTTGGTGCTGCTGCTCCTCTGCGTGTTGTTGATATGCTGTGGCAGTGAAGCTGCGGGGAGTGCCCCAGGGACGGAGTTGAAGGAGCTTGAACTTTTCAAACTGGGGGAAGATGCGGTGTTCGCTGCTGGAAACGAGGGGGGAAATAAAAACGCGTTACAAAAGCGTTTCTTCATTTCAAGGCTATTCCCTCGTTGAGGCGGATGGTATGATGGTTGCGCTTGCTCTGGCTGCCTACAACGACTGCGGCGCGGTGTATGCTGACATTTGGGCAAAGTTGCAGCCATACAGAGACGGCAATAAGTTTGTACAAGACGCTACTCGGGAAGAAAGGCGGGAAACGTTGCGTGTGACCAAACTTTTTGAAGAAGAGGGCCGCGATAGCCGAGTGCTCAGCCCCAAGGCTGTGGTGAAGGAAAACAAAAATATTTCTTATTGCGTCAAGCAGCACCTTGACCGACACCACCTCGAACTCTTTGCTGCGTGGGTTCCACAGGCATTTTGGGTTGGTTGGTGGTGAGGTTCAGAAGACTGCGGGGAAGGATGGGAAACAAGTCTCATGGAGGAAGATCAGCTTTCCGAAGTCTACGCATGACGCGCCGATGCAGTAGCATTCGTAGGAGGGGCTGGAAGCTGTTGCTGGGCCCAGAGGCACTGTAGTTGGGGGGCAGTGCGATTGTCTTTCCTATTGTGGCAACAAAACACCTTCACAAAGGAGGAATGAGGCGTGTCTGCACCGTCATCTACACTGAGAGCGATGACAGGAGTCGGAAATTGACTGAGCAAGCTGCGATTTCCAATGACTGCGCCTTCGCCACGCTTCTCGAGTGTGAGGGGAAACTCCTCATGGTCACTGTAATCTCTTCTTCCACGTGGCGGCGCAGGGTGTACGAATCCGCTGACAATGGGAAGATATAGACAGAGGCTACCGGGCCCCTCCCCCCTCTGCTGAAAGACGCATACACATTGCCGGACCTCTACGGTTTTGTGGGGCTCTTGACAGCAACCATTGAAGAGAGGACTGTGCTGCTGTGCACCCACGTGATGCTTGATAGTACACAAGAAGGGACCAGTCCATTCAGCGATAGTTGCAGCGCAATTCACCTCTGGCTCTCTGATGGGGCTAATATCTATGATGTTGGACCAATCTCTGCTGATGATGCGAGGATTCCCTCTATTAGCTCGTTGTTGTACGCAAAAGATAGGTTGTTTGCCCTTTACTCGAAGAAAAGTGAGCGTGCAATGCTGCAGAGTTGCGTTTTTTACGCTCCTCACAGAGCAGCTGAAGCTCAAGACCATGATGAGTAAATTGAAAGAGGTGAATAGCAAGGTTTGAACGCTTTGCGACTCCACCACCACTGCCTGCGTCGGTCCTGTGCCAACGGCTGGGCTAGTTTTTTTTGTCTAAGAATGCGAACACTACTCACTGGAATGACGAGTAGCTTGGGGTCAGCGCCATGGTGTCTACGGGAACGACGACGAAGGTTGAGAATGGCTTCCAGTTGGCAGGGCGCGGCACACGGATTGTGTGGCCAATGTTCAGGCAGGAGAATAATCCAGTGCGGAGTTATGTGGGTGAGGAGCTGACGCTTGTGGCGACGGTGACCATCAGCAAAGTTCCAACGGGCCTCACTTCGTTGCTGGGCGTGATCATGATGGGCCTCACCGGAGATCGTCTGGGG